TGCAAGGGGGGGGCGCCAGCCACTGGCAGTCTCCACCTTCGATGTGGAACCACAGTATGGTTTTTGGGGGCAACCCAAAAGGACCCCACTCCAATCCTGGTGCCCCGGGTTTCTATGGCCACCCAGAAGCCCTTAAAAGAAATCAAGAGAAAGGAGTGTTCGTCTCACAGCTGGACTTGTATGGAGATGCTGTCCAGCAGATGATGTCCCAGAAGGCTCAGCTGGAACAGCAAGCCCTGGTTAGACAGCAAGCTCAAATGAATTCTTTTCATCAGATGCAGAAACAGCAGCAGCAGAATCAAAGTCTGCCATTACAGCCTTTCCAACTTGCATTTGGTCACCAAGGCCAAAAGCAGGGTCTTCCTGAATTGTTACATGTCTTTCAAGAAGCCCCAGCTTCTTCCAGTCCAGCATTTACTGCTCAACAAAAACAGCAAGCTCTTCCCCAGCTACAACTGTTTGAAAACTTCTATCCTCAACAGCAGCAGCAGCAACAGGCTGCCACACAAGCCTTCGGTCTGCAGCAAACTAGTTCCATAGCACAGCCTCATGTGGCAGCTGCAGCACCTCAGCATCACATGATGGCACACCAGTTTCAGCAAACAGAGAGGAACCAGGAACTATTCAAGGCTCTAACAGAGCAGAACCAACAGACTGTGCTACCTCAGACACAGATTCCCTTTCCAAGAAGGTCACGGAGACTCTCCAAAGAAGGTGTCCTGCTGACATCTGCAGGAGAAGTGTTGGCTTCCAAGCAGGCAGAAGAACAACCTAGCAATTTATTTTTGCATCACTGGCAAACGCATCAGCAAGAGGTCCCATTACAGCAGCTGCCTGAATCACTGGCCCACAACAAAAGCAGCTATTTGCACCCAAAGAGAATGGATCTGGGGCAGAAGGATGTCCTGGTCAATAGTGAGCTGTGCCAGATGGAAACAGACAGGCAAGCCCCAGCCCAGAATGGTAGAGAAGGGGAGAAACAGGCGGCAGCAGCTGAAGAAAACACTCAGAGAACTAACGATTTTCAGGGTGTCAGAGGTGGTGTAATCCAGAGTACGCGACGGAGACGGCGTGTTTCTCAAGAAGCCAATTTGCTAACTTTGGCCCAAAAAGCTGTTGAGCTGGCTTCTCTTCAGAATGTAAAGGTAAGGTATACATCCTAACCAATATAGCATGTTTAGACTACAAAATAGGGCTGAAATGAAAGGAATTTATGTACATATGCGGGATAGGATGGTATCTTAATGCAAGAAGTGTTGTAGTCAGCAAGGGCAGCTCTGGAGTGGTGGCATGTAAGTTCAGCTACTGTAATTCATAGATGCGGTAGAATAGAGATCTCCTAGTGCAGTGAAACCACCTAAGGGCAGTCTTATTTCATTAATACTGAATGTGATTTTAGCCCAGGGCTTCAAAATATGGACGTTTTTAGCTTAGGCCCCAAGCTGATCAGGAATTTGGAGACAAGTATAAGCAGTTCACTTGGTGTCTTTTTACTAATTTAACATTCTCTTCCTTTTATGTTAAAAGACTGCTGCTTATCTACCAGTTTTTTAGTTTTAGCAGTTGAAGTGTTTCTAAATTGTGCTATCTAAAAATTACATAATGTAATTCTACACGTTCAATATTTCCCAAATATTAAAAGCCTGAGGAAGCCTTACTTACATGAAGAACTTATACCAGGCATAACAAAGGTCTGTCTGATGCAGTATCCTGTTTCTGAGGATGGCCTGCAGTGGATGTTTAGAGATTGGTAACCTGAGGACAAAGTCTGCCTGTAGACCTTCTGTAGGGCTTGATGGGGAAGAAATTTAGTGTTGGCTGATTAGGTAGTTTACTACTCTTATCCTTTTGGTGTCCTATCAGTCTAAACTGTACAGCATGTATTCCATATGGCAAGATGACAGGGTTCAAAATTAACTAGCCTAGGGGAGGCAAGTGGGGGTATTTTGGAGTTGGGTGGGGGGTTTTTGAGGGGTTTTTTTTGAGGTTTTTTTTCAGTTGTGGTTTGACTAATCTTTCATTGAGTGCCTCTCGTGAGAAGACAAGATACACTTTTCTTTGGAAGGTTTAGTGCCAGAGGCTGATGAAATACGGGTGTTAGAGCATGAGCTACTTTTACCTACAGTTTTGCCACTTGAGTTGCTGCCCAGTCAGACAACAAAGGGAAGGGAATTTTATTCTCGTGTTTTGTTCTCGTCATCGTTTTCTTCCTAGTCTGTCTGTGGCTGTTTTTCCAATTTCTTCCTTAGAGGGATGTGTTGTTTGAGTGAAAGAACTGAACTAATAAACAATGAGGCAAATATCCATAGCCTACTCCATCTCTTGCACAGCAGACAGCAACCAGCGACTGTTGATGCTGTCTTCAATCCTTTTTGCTCTAACTCCAGTTGAACAAGCAGATTTGATAGAAAACTAGTAGTAGTTAGCAGTGTGAGCTATTTGCTCATACTCTCCCAGCCATTGTATGTTTATATTGCAGGAAGGCCTACAATTCACATTGCAGTCTGATCACCAACACAGTGGCAAGAAAAGGCTAAGAGAGCATGTAGGAAAAGGCCCTGAGAGGCGAAGCAAGAAATTGGCCATTTGAAGGCATGTCTGCTTGCAGCTTGATTCATAATGTAAAGACCAAACAGAGAAGTGTTTTGACAGATGCTCTTTTGTTCTTTGCAGTTATGCAAGCAGCTTGTTTGCTTCCATGATGGCACTAGCAGAACTCTTCATGTTTAGATCTCTTCAGGCTTTCAGAATGAGGTTTTGAAAGATGTTAAAATTCTTACCTGAGGTCTGATGGATTTTACGTCTTTAAAGGGGTTGGATATCATGTGAGGGAGAAAAAGAAAACATGTTTACGGGAGGAGAGAGTGGTCGTCTCCTCTTATCAGTGTATTTCTGTTATAAACAACCTAGAAGCCTTCTCTAGCTTAGGTTATGTGAAGAGTGTGTAAGAAGGCCATAGGATTAAATTATTTATGAAAGAAGATACATTCATAATTCGAACGAGTTGTTTGAACACTCCAGTGTAGGTGTGTGTACCTTATGTGAAAACATTATTTTGGACAGCAGTATCTGTCTACATGTAGTGTCACAACTGATGCTTTGCACCAGAGCTGCCCATCATACTGTGCCTGCCTTTTTCAGGTGGTGCAAGCTTATTGCTGCTTACAGGCTGCAGCAAATTCTCAACTCTTAGTATTATGTTTTCATTTTGCATATAACTGTTATATGCAAAAAGGCGGTGTAATTTGTTTAATAGTGCAAGAAACTTTTCTCAGATCTGAAATGGTCGTCTTAAGGGTGTCTAGATTTAAATGTTCCTTTATGGAGGGGAGACAGAGGTTTTAGTTACCTGGCCCCTTTCCCCTGGCACAGGGCAGGGCACCAGTTGCCACATACAGAAGAGAAAAAAAAAAGTTTTATTTGTGGAATTGCAGTTCTGGACTCACCTCCTTCATGAACAAGCTTCAGTTTGACTGCAGAGAGAAGCTGCCTTTACTGTTAGCAAGATGATGCAAAATGATGACAGAAAGCACTGTACGAGCAGGTGTTTCTAAAAGGCTGGTGTGGTGTCTTGTTTGATCACAGCAGTGGCCTTGGAACAGTTCTTCCAGCTATCGCAATTGGGTTTTGTCTGTGAATTCTAAATTTTTTAGAAAGCACTTGAGGGATAGACAGGATCAATGACAAAATGACTGATGGGTTTCTGTGTGTGTCCTGGAAGACTCTAGATCACTAGTTCATCCCTCAATATTTATGGAAGAGTCTAAATGGAAGTGCAACAAGTTGCACTTGCTGGAGTTATCCAGCAGCCCTCCTGCCCCAAATTCTGCAACAGAGACACTGAGCTAGCTGAAAATTCCCTAGCAGTTCTACAAGTGAAGGTCCTGTCCCTTGTTCAATGACTCCTTTCTGCTTACCTCTGAGCATAATCAAACAGTTGAGAAACTATTTAGGGATCTGAAACAAGTAGCTTAATTCCAAAATCAGTCGTGTCCCCTCTTAGTAAACCTTAGGTATGTGTGATCTTTCATGACCAGAAAAGCTCTGGTGTGGACCAGAGCATCTTTAAGGATGTCTCAACTATTTATATAAAGTTCCCAGTGGTGCCTTCTCTCTCTCTCTACCATTCAGGTCTCCCCCTTCCTCTTTTCTCTCAAAGGGGTCATGTTTGAAGGAAAAGAGTCCTTTGCTGGTTACCTCCCAATCTTGAAAATAAAAGGAGCATGGTCATACTGATCATACAGCCAAAGAAATGTGACATCTTTTGTGTGACTAGCTGCCATAATTTCCTCCTTGTAGTCAGGAAATTAGTTCATGTCTCTTGACCTACAGAGATCTGTGTAGCACACAGGAAGTATCTGAGGTTTGTAGATTGGTCGGAATTGGTGCTCGTTCACATGTTCATATTGCCATTACTTGTTTGATTGCTGTTATTCTCTCAGGTACCCAGAAAGCATGCTAGAGTGCTTGCACTAGTAACAGCTACATCAGGAGGAAAAAAAGTAATTGATTAAAACCAAGACTTTTCTTGGCAGTGGTCTAAAGAATGTAGTATGAATGCATCGCTCTAAACAGTGGTGCAAAACTATCTACTGTGGATGTCACTGCCAGAAGAAGACCCCAGAGCTATCCCAGATGTTTAACTAGGCTTCAGTAATAAGGTGATAACAGCATAAATTTCCCTGGTGAATGGAGGCCCACGTATAGCAGCATGAAGCCATATGTGAGCTGCTGCTTCAGGTATGGGCAGGACTAGTGGAAGCAGGCATCTGTTTCCAGTAGATGACCTGTTTATATGTTTAAAAAGGCATCCTTGTTAGTTCTTCTTTCCTGAAGTAGTGGAGGGAGGCTACAAAAATTTACAAGAGCCCCTTACTATCTGGAGGTAGTGGTCCCTAGTGACATATCTGTCAGCATGATGAATGCCCTCCAAATGCAAAACTGGTAGTCTTGTGGGAAAGTACAGGTGCATATCACCAGCCTGGAGTGAAGGGAGGGCCTCAGAGCTCATTAATTCCTCCTGCAGTGCAATCTGGGGCAGCTGATGCCAATTGTGACTTTTCACTTGTGTGTTTCATTATTGCGTGGTGGGGGCAGATATCTCCAGTCTCTGTGAAGAAGCAGTCAGACTTCTAAACTGCAGTGTCACTTATGAGATAAACCTTTCTGTGCACACTTAGCCTTACTCTAATAAAAGGTCTTGGAAGGAGGCAGTCCTAAATCTTCTTGATATGACTGATTTTATTTGCTCAAGCTTGGCACCTAGCTTTTTTTGAAGGCTTAGTGTTTCAGAGTGGACCTGTTAGCTTTTAACCAACAAAAATTACCAGGACTCTCATTTGGAGAGAGGTCAGAGCACTAACTCCAGGCTCTGACTGATGCATCTTGTGACAATACAGTTGCGCTTCCCTCAATATAAATATAGTATCAAAGTGGGACTTCAGTCTGGTGTCCTAGTTATCATGGGTTGACTTTTCATGGGCCAGCTGGAGCATGTTCTCTAGCTCATCAGTGAAGCTGGCTTTCTTGATCTATGACCACAGTGAAATGACTGGGGGCGTGTCTGAATCTTTATGACAGAACCTGCTTATGCTAGCTTTTTAATCAGGATTAGGTATTCTTAATGGCACACAATGGATTCTTTCTGAGGACTTCAGTAGGTCTCTGCAAAATTTTGGAAGTCCAGGTTAGAGACCTCTTGTCATACCTGAGAGATAATGTGCCTTATTTTCCACCTACAAAACACAGCTTTTCAGGTATATTCCTCAGTAGATTGTGGATCTGACAGAGGATGAGTTTGCATACCTAATCCTATCCAAAGGCTTTCCAAACAGAGCTCTAAGTTAGAGAGAAGTTCTGAAACACCAAAAGGAGCATCATCTACAGCTTCTAGATTGCACTTCATCAGAGCTCAAGAAGGCCTTTTACATCCCCGAAGAGAGGTGTTTTTGCAAGTTGTACTTTAACATCTGGCTTCTAAGTGAGCGGGCAACTACTTTTGAATTGGGAGTGGAATGAACATGTGGATAGTCATTAAAAGGACTAGAAATCATTTATCTAACAGTACCTGAAGCCATTTGGTGTTACAGTATCCATGTGTTTATTCAGTAACTCATCCTCCATTCCCACCTCCTTGGAGCTCAATTTTCTAGGGTTTCCACGAGTAAAAGAAAGCAGAGACATGGAAGCTGTAATACCGATGCAAAAAGTGCCAGCTTGCAGTTATGCCTTGTTGATTCTGCTGAGTAAAAGTCCTTCAGGCTCAAGCCTGGTTAGACAACAAACCTCAAAGGCTCCAGTTACAATAAGGAAAGCTGTCTCTGTCATGTAAATCAGAAAAAATGCAGCAAAAAGCTAGCTCTGTTTTTTTTGTATGAGAGATTTAATTAAGATTATCATGGTTCAGTCTTTCCTGGAATGGAAGTCCAATATTTGAAATTAATAACCTGCAGCTTATGATCATTACTAAAACTGAAGAACCTTTGTTGGAAGTTATATGGCAGGGCATAAATTCATCTGGAAAATAAAATGTCATGCCATAGGTAGTGAAATGATACTTAAGAATGATGTATAAAAATATTCTAGCAGTTGATACTTCAGGCAATCCTCAAGTAATTCTAAGAAATTTTGGTAACACTTTTGCGAAGTATTCTTTTTCCTCCAGTAACACTTTTCCAAATCCATTTCAGCTTGCAAATTGCATTGAGAAACTTGATATACACCGAAAGTGATTTATTATGTAAGTACTACAGAACTTTTAAGGAATCTATTTTTCTTCTCAGGAACTGGATAATTCAGAAGAGAAGAGTAGTGTGCTGGTAGCAGCTCCAGGACCTACAGCTGCAAAAAGTGTTGTGGAATTCGCCAGTTCTTCACCAGCTCCAAAAAGAGCCCGGGAGGATAACAGCCTTGTGCCTCTTATCATTCCTGTGTCTGTGCCAGTGAGAAAAATTGACTTGCAGAGCCTTGGAAAGGAAAAGTCTGAGGATGGAAAGGTCCAGAGAGGCCCAACAAATGATCGAGCTCCTTGTGAACGCAAGCCTTCTGTGATAGTCACTCGGAGGCGATCTAACCGTAATACTAACATGGAAACCTCAAATCAGGTATGGATAGACTAAGAAACCAAAGATGAGCCAAATCTGTTAGATTTAATTATGTGGTTTTTATCCATAAGCTTTTCTATTAAAGTAGTTTGATCTTAAGGCTTGAAGTTGGAATGGATGTATTCTGGGGACTGTGGATTTTTTTTGACATATTATTGCCATCTATTTGGGCATCACTGGCTTTTCATGACCTACAGCTAATGCTAGTACAGCCAAGCAATGCCCCGCTACTAAACACTGAATAAAGCCAGATGGTCAATAACAATAGACTAAATAGTCTGAGTAAAGAGTGCTTTCCATATATACAGAGATAATAATAAATATCTCTGTATATGAATAAAATCCAAAGTGAAGATTTATTCTCATGGAATTGAAATCTTACTGAGGTTCTGAAAGTCAGTACTTGAGTGTTCCCCTTCAGTGTGGTGCTGTTGAGTGGGTTTTTGTTGTTGTTGGTTTGGTTTTTTTGTGTGTGGGCTTTTTTTTGTCTCTTCTATTCAGAAATACAATATAATGTTCAGATACCAGAGAAATGGCAGGCATCTAGGGAGGTTTCTCTGCATTTAAATGCTTGACCATCTAAGAAAATATTTTTATATTGTCTTCTGTTCTCTTATCGCTATTTGATGTCACCGTGTATCCATACCAGGGTTCTGCTATATGTTTATGTCCTCTTTTAAAACTACCATGAGGTCATTATCTTTCCAACCAAAGGTTGGACCAGACGTAGTTCTCGTAAAATATAACTTCACAAGCACTCAGAGCTAGTGTTGCTACCTAATAGTTCCTGTGTCCATTCCATTCCCCATCTTCTTCCTCCCTCTTTCCCTTTGTGCCACTCTCCAGCTGCCCTATCCAGACTTTGAGCTGCCACGAAATAATGTTGTCATCTCACTGGTTTTTCAAATGACCTGAGGTTTTAAAATGAAATTAAGTATGTAATATTTTCCTAATAGCATGAAGATGATGTTCCAAAGGATGAAGCAGAGGGCTTTGCCCGGAAACCAAAGCAGCGGCCAAGACCTGAGCCACTCTTTATACCACCAAAAGCTGGCACCTTTATTGCACCACCTGTTTATTCTAACATTACTCCATATCAGAGCCACTTACGGTCACCTGTTCGTCTGGCAGATCATCCTTCAGATAGAAACTTTGAGCTACCTCCTTACACTCCTCCGCCAATTCTTAGTCCAGTGAGAGAAGGATCTGGGCTATATTTTAATGCTATCCTCTCTTCAAGTGGTCATTCGGTTCCACCTCCAATGACTCCTAAAAGTGCTCACAGAACTCTGCTTAGATCAAGTAAGTTCTACTTTATCCTTCCTTTCTTGACTAATTTATGAGGAAGATCATGACTTTAGGAGGTGTGGTTATGGGGAACTGGGACCTTCCTCGTGATAGTCTGGGGAACTAGGATGGAGGAAATGCAATGTTTCTTCCATCTGGGCATGCATGTTAAGATGCATTCACAAGTAATCTGCAACACCCCCTACTGACGTTCTTAGGAATGGAAGAGTCAGTTCCTCCTCTATAATAGATTGTCATTATCTTGAACTGAGGGGACAGTAAATAGTTATTATTAAGATGTAGGTGGTGACTGGAAGGTAATTCTCGGTCATCTTAAACTCCTTTAGCATATGGGTGCCTTTTTTGAGAGATGGATATCTCTGATAGATTTACAAGCTGTGTGAAGAATATATCTCAAATGCGAAGATGACCTGTCTGAGCAGTTCTTTCTTTCTTTTCCTTGCAGATAGTTCAGAATTTACCCCTCCTGTTCTTACAGTAGTGGGAGAAGCCACCCCGGTCAGCATTGAACCGTAAGTACCCAGTAGATTCTTAGCCGGGTAGTAAATGTGCTTCTTTTCTTCCTCCTAAACCTTCAAGCTGCTCCCTGTACAGTTGATCTATCTCTCGGAAACATTAAAGCTATTCCTATTAGTGACTCAAAATATAAATTGTCTTTATTAAAAATTACTCCATATGATAAATAATGTTTGTTTGGGCAAACGCACTTTGTAATTCTGGTGATGTTAGCTGCTTTCTGTTACTGCTCATCTGTCTCTGGGCTGAAATACTATTGGTTAGCTAAAGGTGAATCTGTCCTGTTTTGTTGTATACAAACACTTCTTTGCGTGCTGTATGTTTGTTTTAGAGTGGGGAAATAATGCTCCTTTAGAGGAAGGCCAAAACGTGGTATGGAAAAATGTAGTTAGCTCTCACATGGACTGGTCAGATTGCAGGTTATCCATGCGGTGTGTATTAGCTGCAGTGCAACTGTGAACACCGCTTTGCTCCCTCCTGGGCTAGCTCAGTCTGAAAGTACTATAGCCAGTTGCATACAGTGTGTGTGGCCTGAGCTCTAATAAGCCTCATTAGTCTCTTTAGCTGGCTGTGTGCTGGGAAAGCTCAGACATATATGGACCCAGCAGCACTAGGGAACACAGTTTGGAGACACTGAAGCTGGAGTTACAAGTTTAGGCTTGGTGCCAGTCCTGCTGAACCTGAGCAGAGTAGCAAAAAAAGCAGAGTAGCAAATGTCTCTCACAGCCCTTGCAAAACCCTCTGGGAGTGTTATCAGCTCAAGTTCAGTGCTGTAGAATGACAGCAAGGTAGTTCTAATTCATTATTATACCTAGGTTAATGAACTCTTGCGAAATCTAAACATGGAGATGCATGGCATGGAAACACCCATATGGCATAAAAACACCCACGTGGCTCTGCATTGCTGACTCTGTGCAGTCAGGAATCTCTGCTCTAACTCTGCAGTGTATCTTGTAACATTTGAGGTGTTTAACTCAAACTCTTCCCAAATAAATACCAGGCTTCTTTTACTTTTTCTTCCAAGACGGCTTATATTTTTAAAATATAACTGGAGCATATCCTGTCAATTTCTTTTTTTCTCACCCTTTTTCCATTCTGCCTTCCTGTTTGAAGCTGAGTTTTCTGCACTTTTGGCAGCAGGCTGTCCTGAGCAAATGCTACAATTGTGAACAAACTCAGATTATTCTTGTCACCTTTGCAAATCCCTTCCAGGCTGAGCCCATTCATGGAAATAAGCACATTTGGTGTTTTTAAAATCTGTTTTGAAAATGGCTTAATTCATCTTTTTGTCATTGGTTTGTTGCACACCAATCCAGGGGAACCTCTTCTTGAACAGATATTTTTCTTTTTTTTGTTTCCCCCCAGGTCTTGATCTTTGACCTCCCTATGGTGCAATTGTCTTTGGCTGTTATGTCTGTTGGTTTAAGTTGCTGAAGTTAATGATACAAAGTTAGCTGCAACTTTTAGTTGTGTGTGAAAATTTTCAAATTTGTTGCTGGAAATTTCAAACCATAGTTACTTAGTAATGCAAGTTCATTTCCTGTTGCCAAAAGGGAGTTATGTACAAAGAGTTGTCTTGCTATCATCTTAAGTCTTACTGAACAGATGCTTACGCAGGTAGATAGGTTTAACTTTTAACCAAGATAAATTAACAAACTGCTGTCATTCTATGTTGTCAAAGTAATCAGTTTGCGGCTGTGAAGCTAGTTTGCGCAGCACTGTTATGGTCAGTTATGTAGACATATCTTCTATAAAGGAAATATGGCAGGGAAGCACTTTTTTTTTTTTAGGAAAAAAATGTTTAATTTGATTTGTAGTTTTGACTCAGTCGGAAGTTGACTATAACTTGTGATTACCCGATATTGTGTTCTTAATTGCTTGTGCTTTGCCAGACCTTCTGCTAATGTTTCTCAAAAGGTCATTTCATTGCAGAGATTTGGAATGGGAAATGTGATAATGAAGCTTAATTCTTCTATTTGTGAAGTAGTACAATAGGCAGCTGGTGTGACAGATCTTTGTGTCCTACCGGTTTTGCAGTCCGGTTGCTTCAAAGTCTTAGTCACTCCTGGGCTAGCCAGCCTCAAGTATAGCTGTGGTGCATCAGCTGTGAATTGCCTTCCCAATTCACAGTCTCAATTCTGGATGTTACCACACACAGCTGCATACTGGGGTGTCCCAGGAGCACTGTCGGTGCTTACAGGCAAGAGCTTTTGCTGTACTGAAATCTAGGCTTCATCATTAAAGAATCATGGGATAACATAGCTTGCATGGACCTGTAGGTCATCTGGTCCAAGCCCTTGCTCAGAGCAGGCCAAATTAGATGTTTACTCAGGTCAACTGTTGCAGTGGAAATCTGGTTTTATTGCAGGTACAAGGTCTAATTCTTAGGCTTTTCTAGCCTAGGGGTGCCATATTCCAAGTTTAGTTTCAAGATAAAAAGGTAACCTCTGATAGGCCTTCAAGCCCACACTCTTTCCCTCCAGCTTTTCCAATTTCCTCTCTCCCTCTCACAGGTGGGGCCAGAGGAGTCTGTGTCTTGGGACATGCAATCTCTGAAATTTCCCAGTGCAGTAACAGCCTCTTTATCTGTTGCCAGTTGACAGCAAAGTGTCAGTTTCTGTCAGTCATCCCTTTTAGGGTGGATCAGAATACATTACTCTTTCCTCCACTGTGAAACTGCATGCTGTAACAATAAGCGGGACTAATCATAGTGACCAGAAGACTCCACATTAATATCATTCTTCAGTTCATCACAGTGTGCTGAAAGGAGGACTTATCAGCATGTTTGTTTTGCTTTGTTTTTTAGCAAGGTCTTCTCCTCAATCTTGCATGAAATCTCTTGCTTTTTATTTTTGGTCTGGATTGTGCTGTTTCTGTCCAAGATAATAAAGACAGGTGAAGGAAAAATGGAAAACTATTTGGCGTTATAGTTTTAATAGACTTTTGTACCTGTAAAACACTCAAAACCAAACTTTGAGGTTTTCTTGGACTTCTTCATTCTCCATGCAGGTTCCACTTTTAGTGTGCATTTGAAATTGAATTACTTTTGGGAAGCAGATCCTGAAACAGTTACAACCATGGGCATCAGAGATGGGACATTTTCAACTGCCTTAGTTCTCCCCTGCCCATGGCCATGATGTGAGATGTGTAATGTCCCTATTGCTTTACCTTCGACAGGTATTGGAGATAGTGTTTTTGGGAAAATGACAGTATATGACAGCCTGTCTAAAACTTTCCTGCTACATCTGCAATGCTGGATGTCATCTTGCCATCACCTACTGGAAGGAAGTTAGCATCAGTGTGTGCATCTAGTTGATTCCACTTGCCCAAGTAGGAATCCCACCCCGCCAATGTCGAGCTGCTGCTGAATGGGCGGATGAAGTCAAAACAAGTGTTGTAGGGTAGTTATCTTCTGCATCTCTTTGTTTATATACACATGAATTGTAAACCAGTCCCCTCAAGTGTGAGGAAGTAGATCTGGATCCGCTATAGATGCAAAAGAAATAGTTTGTAAAAATCTCTTTTTATGTGTGTTTGAAGTCAGCCATATGTTTTGAATGCAGGCTTTTCCAAATTATGACATCTCATGATGCAGATGCTTACTGACAATAGCGAAGTGATGTATTAGGCAGAAAAAAGGGAATGAAAGTGTTTCCTTCTTCCCCTTCCATAACAGAAAATGATACCGTCTTCCTTCCCTTTGATACCACAGTCTTCTAGGACTTCAAAACTTCCTATTAGAGCATTTGCTAGTATCCCTCTGTGTTTTTGTATGGGTTATATGTGTTGTTTCAAGGCCTCCCCACACCTTTTCCAGACTCTTGCTTTCCTAATAGACATGCGTGTGTCACTTCAGAACAGCAAAGGACCAGAAAAATCTGGAGGCTGGCACTTCTCAGATGTTTTTGTTACTACTCCTTATTGTACTAGATCATGCTTTTTTCTCTGGTAATTGTGTTTCCCCTCATGCTGGGGCGGGGGGGGAACCAAGCCAAGACTTGAGAATTATAGCAAACCTTGCCCTGGGCAGGGAGTTTTACCTTTTTTCTAATGAAGCAACTCCAGAGTTTAATCATCTTGTGGGCACTGCCTGATCTACTCTCTCTCAAAAAAAGGAGCTTATTTCTCTGTCCTTTACTATTTCAGGAGCTATCAATATGGTGCTAGTTGACTGACATCTGGAAGAGGAACATTTTTGCATTAAGCATAGCTATCTTATTTCAGAATAGGAGATTTTCATTATATTCTAAGTGGTCTGAGCAGCAGCTGTTCTCAAATATCTTGGTTTTCTGATATCTTGGTTTTCTGAAGGGTCTTTTTGCTAGCTTAGTTTGGGCATTTCTTTTGCTCTCTCTTCTGGATGTCTGAATTGCTTATGTAGTTGCTATATTACTTAGAAAGTTGTCCTTGGACTTATGCAATATATGTTACACTGAGTTTGTGTAGCTACTGCTGTCTCTGCGTATTTTGACACTGAGTAAGAGATGTAGAGCAATGACAAAGGACATCCATGCTCTCACTGCTTGCTGTGCTATTGGTGTAGACCTCCAGGCCTCCAAGTCTGGTAGAGCGATCTTTCAATGGTGGTTCTTGCCTATCTCCGTGCACAGAATCCTGTTTGCTAGTACAGAGTAGAATCTCTGTGGATGGTCACTTGACTTAAAGCAAGTGTGGTGCTCTGTGGATTGCATGTTGTGAAAAATCTGTCCGCTAATTCAGAATCTAAAAGTATGGGACTGTTGCTAAAAGAATGGGATTTGGTTCTGATACAGGATGAGCAGTACAGCTTTCATTGTTTTATACTTTTGGTTTCAGTTGTTAGAAATAGTTACTAGAAGATACTAGCTTGTGTCAAGATCATAAAGGACCAAACTGTGAGATTGATCCTGCTTTGAATGGGGAGTTGAACCAGATGGGTTGAAAAGGACTTCCGGAGACTAAATGATGCTATGATTCTGTAGTTATGGCTGGCAAAACGTTAATACTAAAAAAGGCTCACCTATCTTATGTATGAGGAGCAAGCTTGCCACAAGAGAAGTCCATGTGACAGCCTCTCAAAAAGTGGTCATTACTGAAAGCTAATAACTGTTCTTTGAGCAGTTATTAGGAGATCCTAATTTAAATACAACTCCAACCATTGTTGGTAAGACAATGGAAACTGGTAATGGACATAAAACCGCTCACCTTTTGAGTCATGCTTATTAATGTAACCTACAACACCCGAAAGCTGTTCATGTTATATGCAAGAGCCTGCTGCATTTCAGTTTCTTCATAATTAGTGCTTCTAGCAGAGATGGAGACTTTCTGGATATTGTAAAGGGGGCCTGACTGTTACTTGTTACCTTTTCTGCAGGCGAATAAATGTAGGAACTCGCTTTCAAGCAGAAATCCCATCACTCCAGGATAGATCTCTGGCAGCAGTTGATGAACATAAAGCAGAGCTGGTGTGGCAGCCGTGGGGTGACCTGGAAACCAACAAAGTCACCCAAGAGAATGGTAAGAATGTGGAAGGCTGGTAAATGGGACTGAATTGCCACGGTTGTAGGGGTAACCACATATCTACTGTAGGCATAATTTAAAATCTCTGAGCTGCCAGTCAAGTGACATGTTTGAGTAGCCTTGAAAACAGTCTTAGGAGCAAAACTTGTTTATCAGGTTGTGTGTGGCAGGGGGGAGGTTGATAGGATTGTTTTTTTTTAATTGAGATTAAATGGGACCATTTGTTACTGGTCAGGCAAAGAACAGCCTTTTGCTCGGTGAAGCTTCCTTCTCTTTGTTAACATTTGAATGCCACATGCACTCAACTTCTGTATTTTCAAGGGATGTTCTAGACAGAATAGTATTTTGGAAAAATCAAGTTGTAGATGGAAGTCAGGATGAGGAAGCAGGAGTTGTGGCAGCTAGTAGCAGGCTTGGGGAGCTGTCTGCTGTTGGTGCACATGGGCTGTGGCATGTATAAATCCTGAAGGGAAGAGGAAGTGAGCAGGCTTGGAAGAAATCTGGATGAAAGAGAAAAAAGGGTATTGTGAAATGTAAATTCACAATATAGTAAAGGGGGGAATTCAGGATCTCTCTGAGGTGAAGGGAGATGGAAAGACATTATAGGAGGGAGAAGAGGAGGTTTGCAAGAAACTCCCATGTGTAAATAGTCCTGCATGCAGAATAATGTTGTGTGACCTTGCAGTCCAATGAGTTCTCGTGTCCAAATTTGACCCAGATAAATTTGCAAGCACGTTCAACTTCTGTGAGAGTTTTACTTTCTGTTATGTCTAGCTCTGCTTTAAAAGAGCTAATTAATGATGTGAATCCTGTAGGAAACTCCATTTTAATCTTCTTATCTGAATTTGTTTGGTACCTCTGTGGAAATAGTGGAAAACCTGCTAGCTGCTGCCTGTTCAAGCATTTTTCCTGGGGCTGGAACCAACCAGGAGCTGGCGCTGCATTTCTTACATGAAGCAAAGGGAAACATTCTGGTGAGTCTTCCCAGCTTTTCACCCTGATGCGGTCAAAGATGTTAATGAAGGCCAGGTAATCTGCCATTCCTGAGAGGAGAGCCTTGCAAACTCCTTCCTATGCATCTCGCTCCCACTGTTTAGTGTCCCTCAGAGATGTTGCTGTCCCTGAAGTGGCTTCTGCCTGATGTACAGTGCCATGTTCACTTAACTATCTTGCATATTTCCAACTTTGACAAGTTTGGCTTTTTAACAAACAGACTGACGGTCTACCAGGGTGAGTGAGCTAAGACTGCAAAATGAATCTTAAATGTTGTCTTCCTGGGAAGATGACCATGTTGGAAGGAAAAATAAGAGGCTGGGGCTGAAGCTGAGACTTTTAAAAAGTGCAGTGTCTTGCTCCTCTTACTTTCGGCAGATCCATTTAACTTCTCTGTGCATGTCTATAAAACACCTGTGCTGCTAGTTTCGTCAGTATTGTAAGACATGATACACTTTCATAAATGCCCTTTGACACCCCTGGGAGGTAATATCAAAGAGCAGAGCATAGCATATGGGACAGGGTCATTGTCCTTTTATAGTTGTATGATCGATTTAACCTGGCATAAATGAGCTCTGTGCTCAGGAGTATCCCACGCTTTTGCCTGGCTGCTTGTCTCCCATCCCCCGTAGTGCACTAGCACTGACACTTGTGAGGCTGTATTGACCTGCGTTGGAGAAGAGAACAAATAAAAAGTAATTTTTGTGTGTATGTGTTAGGTTTCTGCTGGGTAAGTTCCCAGAACCAGCCCACCATTGTGATGCTGTTGCTGGCATTAGGGAGGAGCAGGGCTGCCCCTGGCAGCAGGAGCTCACTGTTAAGGTGGTTTAAACTGCTAATGGAAGCGTACCTTCGTTCTCTCCTTCCTGCTAACTTTGAAAGCACTTCCAGTTTAAATGCAAAGTAAAAAGCAGCTTGAGAGGGTATTTTTTGTGTGGAATCTTTCAGTCACATAACTGCTCTGTTTTATTTTGAAATACTGCTTAGTTAAGTGAGATAAGATCACAATGACTTGGATGTTTAAGACAGACATTTAGGGCAGCGTTTTTGGATGCAAGTATGTAATTTAGGCCTTCAGTAAATGAGAGGAAACTGCTGCATGGTCTCTGTCTATGGAATTAACTCTCTCCCAATACTGTGGTGGTTGCGTTGGAAAGTGTCGATTCGCAGAGACATGAAGAGGTGCCAAGAGCTTACCACTTGCCTGTGGTACCCAGCACTCAGTGAATAGGCAAGAATGTGATTTTAAAGTTGTCCCAAGTTAAACTGTGCTACGGTTCTTCTCAGTTAGCTTGCCAGAAAGGAGAGGATTAACAATTGCCTGATCTTTGTTTTAAATACCCCAAACATTAAATTAATTATTTTGTGTTTATTTTAGGGAGCTTTGACCAAACTGCTATTGAAGAGGCCAGTACGATCGCCTGCCCACCCTTTGGCAGATTATCACTACACAGGTTTGTAAACCAGAATAACTCTGTGCTGACTATCATAAAGGAATTCTTCTATCCTTTTCTGCTTTTTTGGGGAACTCTGTAACATTACAATAAGATTAAAAGACCACTCTTGTCTCCGGTAAATCAAATGATGGCTTGCCAGGAGTTTTGCCTGTGTAAATTATGACACTTATAATATAAGAAAGACAGCATCTGTTGGAGCATGTGCATGTGTGTATTTGCATATGTGTGTGTTCTGATTTTCTTTATGGGGAAAAGGGAATATGATCCCTTACACGAAGCACAGAGAATGCAGAAAGATAGCTAGTTGTCACATCCCACCTCCGAGAAGGGGAGAGCGACAAAGATTCGCAAATCCCCTCGGTGTGGATTAAGGTGAGATAACACTCAAGGTCCGTACATAAACATAAACTTCAATGGAACAAACATTCTGTAAATGTTGACCCTCTCACAGTTATATCCACCTAAGCTGTGCGGCTTTATGAGAAGTTGAGGTAGGCCTTGGGTTACTTAGCAGCTTTAAGAGAAGAGAGAGAGCGTGCTAGAGAGGGGGGGAGAGAGAGATAAGGAGATCACCAGTCCTGGATCCAGCGTCGGACCTGCCGACGGGGTGTCGGTGTAGAGAGCACCCCAGAGGCTTGTGTGTGCCCCTATTTATTGGCCCCAGTTCTCTGGAGCCTTCTCCTGGGGCACTGTCTGGGCTCACAGTACAGTCACCTGCGCCTTGTCCCTTACACCACCCCGTGGCTCAAACACTCCAAGGTCCTCTTCAACAGTGGTGATCTGAACATACCGTATAGAAGGAGAGAGAGAAGCGAGTAAGCGGCTAATCAGGCACCTTATTATGGCAAAGCCGATAGCTAGACCAATTAATATTAACAAAAGTATCACTAAAGCTTCCACTATCCAATCCCACCATCCTGCAAGTCCAAGTTTTTTGAGCAAAGTTGAAATCCATGAGGCAGGGATCCAATCCACTTTTCATTCGTTTGATAACATTGACTGGAAGAAGTCTCCTATCGTGACTGTGATTTCCCGCATCCTCTGATGTGCTTCCTCGATCGTGGTCATGGCATTGTGTATGGTAACGCAGCATTCTCCAGCTGTATGGTTCAGCACTCCACATACACCTTGTTCTTTGACTAATAGCATGTCCAGGGCTAGACGGTTCTGCAAGGCCATCTTTGACACCTGTTGAACCTGCAAATTTAGTTCTCCAAAAGCACGTGCAGTCCAATTACTCAAAATATGTACCTGCTAGGTCAAATTTTCCAGTACAAACTGGTGTCTTTGTAGAAGCACATTGATGGAATTCCAATGGTACAGCATAAACCTGCCATTTCATGCACATGCAGGTGTCCCATCTGAACACGCCTGGAAAGTACCCTGAGGGGCTGGATATTTAGCAGTGGAGCATGTTGATAGGTCATAGGGTTTGGTTAGTCTGGCTTCCCCTTCCCATGCAAAATTCCACTTTGTTTCGTGGGTAAGCGTAACTCCATGTTTTAACGCGGTTTCTTGATTGAGAATGTTTCCATAACACATGGGATCTAAAGGTTTAAACCCTGCTACTGGAAAACCCCAACAAGGACATGTATCCTGAATAAAGGTTCTCAACTCTGGGATATACCGTGTTTCTGTTGGGTCTCACAGTAACGATTCACAACTAATCATTCGTGAACAACTCATTAGGGGAGTATTCTCATGGGATAGGGGATTTATTTCCCGTGCATCAATTATTATCTGGATTGGACAAAAAATGTTTAAGGGACCAAGCACATTCATAATGAGAACGATCATGGTGGGTATAGCCACCCCATTTGTTAGGAATTTGAATGCACCAACCCGGGGAGAACAGGACGTTATATTCGTGGTGTAGGGGTTCACCGTGAGGTGGGGGGTCCCACCGACATACTAGATGACAGGGGATCTCCACTGCTCAGGACACCACGTCCAATTCAGTACAAGATTGCAAGGGATCTTCACTTCCCAGGGATACAATGTCCAATTCTTTCAGGCTGCGAGGGCAGCATTTGTAGTCCCCTTACAGAGCTGTTTCTTCCAACAGGTAGCATTCCACATGTCTCTCCAGGTCATGCTAACCGGCAATAGGCCACTGGAGAGGGTGCGTACCAAGTTTTCCCGCTATACTCTTGGAATGGGGATGAGTCAGCTCCCCACAAGCATTTTCCCTTCCCATGTGTATTTCGAATGCACTTTTGGTTTAACATTTCTAGCTTCAAATTTAGAATTTGTGAGAAATTTAGCCAAATAATGGCGAACTTAAAGCCTGCGGATGTGGAGAGGTCCACACAAAGACCTTGGTCTGTTCAATTCCAGATTCGGCTAAAACCAGCAATCAGTTCCCATGCCAAGTTGGGCTGGTTATCCAAATTCCCAGTTGACTGAGAAAAGATTATACATCCACAAAGTAAGAATATAAGCTTCTCCCACACCATCTTTCTCTAGTAAAGAAACAAAACAGGCTTAATAAAATCAGACAAACAATGCAAAGAATGACCCACTCAACAACTGAAAACATAAGTCCAATGGTGGGCTTCTGAAAACCCGCAAAATATATCTGTAAAGACAAGCAATGATTAATAGGATGGGACAATCCATTGGGTATGGATTCGGTGATCCTTCCCATGTGTGTCGGTGGCCACCCAAGTATAAAGATTGAGCTTTTTTTTTAAGGTTAAAGGCACTGCTCCCACTGTTGGCAAGTCCACCAGAACAGGTTGTCCTGGATAATGGAGTGGGTTTGCAGGGTCCTTAGCCTCCTTTTTCCCAGGGAGTATGGACAGAAGCTTGGGACAGAATGCGGTAGGTCGTGGGCAGCTATTAATTCCCCAGTGGCTATTGACTTTATATACCGCATCTGACACCCACTGTGCCCAGCCAGGTTGGGTGCTGCAAGAGCCCATTGGTGCATTTGACAATGCCATTCGTCTGGGGGTAGTATGGGGTATGAAAGATCCACTGGATCCCTTCGCCCCATGCCCACTCTTGAACCACCCCAGCACTAAAGTGGCTTCCATTATCTGATTGGATCAATTGGCGTTCGGGTAAACAACTGAACCACAACTTCAGACCTCTCACAGTATTATCTCCCGTCGCTTGTTGTACTGCTTCCGCTTGGGTTAACCCCAACACCACTTCAACTCCTACTAGTACATATCGTTTTCCTTCAGAGATCCGAAATGGACCAATGTAGTCCACCTGCCAAGTGTCCCAAAACCCTTTATTATCTCTCAAGTGCAGGGGTTGGTCCTTAAGAGGGTTGTGTTCTCCTAATCAAGTGCGGCATAGGCCACACGTGGAAATAACGGTATTACACAACTCTCTGGTTACAGATCACCTGCTAACTGCCTCCCTGAACAGATCTTTACTTCCCAAATGGCCTCGTTTTACGTGCAACCATTCCAACAAATGTTCCTATTTTTCCCCCTCACCTTCCATGGCCATTCCTGCTAAACAGGTCAATGAATCCACCTGATTATTCAAAAGGTGATCCCCTGCCTGGTGTGCAGCAGCCCATCCTACTAGAAGGGACTTCTGTTTAGCAATATTTAGGATTTTTTCCCACTTTCCTCGTTGCCACACCAGTACCTGATTGACCTCCCATTGGTTTTGTTCCCAAAATGGGAGCCATTCAGTACATCCCTTGAACACAGCATACGAATCTATGTAAATAAACACTGGTTCTTTAGTTTCAGCCTCTCTAATAACCATGCTCCACGTGGCTGCCAATTCTCCCAACTGAGCACTTCCCTCCCCTTCTGTCACGATTCGGTCCCCTGAATCAACATGCTGGGCTACCGCTCGGTATTTCCATACCTTTCCCTCTCTTCTAGAGGACGCGGCAGTGAACCATACGTTTTTTAGGTGGGGTTCAAATGGAGGGGCAGGTTTTATATAAGAGGGAGGAGGTCCCTGGTCCGGTTGATTGCCGGGCAGTTCTTCTATTTGGAGTATTTTGGGTGTTTCCTCACCTTGGCCATTATTGGTGATCTCTGTCTTAATCACTGGCCTCATCACCACTTCTTCATTCTCAGGGTAAAATATTTCTCGGTCAGTTTCCAACTCCTTAGTCAGGTACAAGGGTCTTAGGCCCTGTTTCTTGGACAACTGTGCCAAGCTTGTAAATCCTGCACACTGTCGGGAACAGAATTAAGATCTGTCCAATCAGGAGATTCTTGTCCCCCTTCCTCTAATTCAGACCGTAAAATTTTTTCTTGGTCCAACACATCTGACAGAGCCACACGGAGTCGCTGAGTGGCACTATGCTCAGTGGTCAGTTGGCTCCGCAAGGCTTCCACTTGTTCTTGCAAGGATTCAATCATTTCATCGCGTTTGCTTAATTAGGTGCCTCTCTCCTGGCCTGCCACTAGTGCTGCTCCCAACACAGCACACACCATGACTTTTTCTTTTCCTGGTCGCGCCTTTTATTCCTTCGTAAGTGTTGTAATTCTATCTGCTACAGCTTTTGGGTCATGCCAACTAATATGGGCCCATGCCATTCCTGGTGGGGAAGGGCAGGCCTTATATTCCTTCAGCTTTTCAGTAACGGGGGAGCAGTCAAGCACCAGCATTTCCCAGGCAGCCATGGCTTGCCACTGCTCGAACCTCTCCCGGCTTATCGCTGAGAGGTCACTTCCCGGCTCTCCCCGCCCGCACTCACCGGGTGGAGAGTCAGTATCCCATAGGACCTTCCAACACTGAGGGGATCCTGTCCGTGACACCAATTTATATGTCATGTCCCACCTCCGAGAAGGGGAGAGTGACTAAGATTCGCAAATCCCCTCAGTGTGGATTAAGGTGAGATAATACTCAAGGTCTGTACATAAACATAAACTTTAATGGAACAAACATTCTGTAAATGTTGACCCTCTCACAATTATATCCACCTAAGCTGTGCGGCTTTTTGAGAAGTTGAGGTAGGCCTTGGGTTACTTAGCAGCTTTAAGAGGAAAGAAAGAGAGAGCAAGCTAGAGGAGAGGTAGGGAGATCACCAAGTCCTGGATCCAGCATCAGACCTGCCAATGGGGGTGTCAGTGTGGAGAGCACCGCAGAGGCTCGCACATGCCCCTATTTATTGGCCTCAGTCCCTGGACTTCTGGAACCTTCTCTCGCCCCAGTTCCAGGAGTGGCTGAGACACAGTCAGTCAAGGGAAGTGACACCAGGCCCCTCCCCATGACTGCCTTTTGCTACTTCTGGAGCCTTCTCTCGGGGCATTGTCTGGGCTCACAGTACAGTCACTTGGGCCTCGTCCCTTACCCTAGTACGTACAAGAAAGGCTGTGGTAACCTCACGATCACAGCCTCTCTGACGTGAATTTCCAGGGTGGAGTTAAGAAGGGGTTTTATGGGAAGAAGAAAGCTCAGCCAACTGTCGATGTCTGTCAGTGTTTCTGCAAAATTTAAATGCTGTAAACTGCCTTTGTAGTCTTGTACCTAATTAGAAAATAGTCAGCCATATGACACTAACTTCAGTGATCTAGAGTGACCCTAGTCACCTGAAAGACCTGATATAAGGTGGTAGAGAGACTTCTAATAGCTGGTGCCACAAAGCATAGAAATTACATTTCTTCATTATTACACACTCCTACTATAATGCCTGGGAAATATTACTTGGGTAATATCTATAAGGCAGGAGGAGATTCCAAAATGTGTTTATTATTAGAGGCAAGGGTGCTAGGATACTAGGAATATTTGAGAAGTAATAAGTCTTCAAGTACAGTGGATTGCTGCTGAAAGAGAAGATCCTGTTCTCCTGCCCCACCATTTCCCTTGTATAAAATCTAATGACTGGTCACCACGAAGTATGGTTATTCGCCTTGCTGTTTTGTTGGAAAACATCTCAGTTCTTCTAATTGACTGTTCTTTGCAAGCTGAACTGAGTTAACCTGTGGTGATGAGTACTAGACCTAGCCCAAAGGAAGTGATGAGAGAGGAGGGCTGAAGTGGGGTCGTAGGAGAGGGTTTAACAGCAGTCTGCAGTTATGCTGGATTAGGTGTGACTGCACCCTTGCGTGTGTGTATTGGTCTTACTTAAGGTGAACATGAAGAAAAAGTACATAGAAGAGTAAACATTTGAAATTCCAAGGGCTTCAGTTACAACTTTTTTTATCTACAGGATCAGACAAGTGGAAAGTTGCTGAAAAAAAACTTTTCAACAAAGGCATTGCCATCTACAAGAAAGACTTTTTCTTGGTCCAAAAACTTGTAAGTTCTTTTTCTTTTTTTTAAATTACAGCAATGATACATTCTTACACATTTGAGCATTTAATTCAGAGAGTTCAATCTTGATTTTTCTGAAACTTCAGTATTAAGCATTAAGTCCTGCACTCAAAAGATTTCAGAGAAATTCTGTCATCCAGCACAGCATAAAATCTCACTAGATAGCTAGAACAATAGTGTTTGTTTTGCTGTTGTTGTTTACTTCACCCTTGTACTTACTGCATTACTTCCATTAGTCCACACTGTAGATATCACTTCTACAGGGCATATTTATAGAGTGCTGGTAACGTTCCAATACGGCTTAAATGGCTTGCTTATAAAACTAAATAGAAACACATCCTTGCTGCTGCTGATGAAAAGGACCAAAGAAGGATATGTGAATGATGCATTCTTTAGGATCTTTCTTTACAGTTTTCTGTGGCAATGATAGTAAACATGACCATTCCCATCTGTTTTCATGAGGTATGACGCTTCAGTGGGGGGGAAATCACTGAAGAAGAGTGCAAAACCAGGAGCTGCGTACATATTTCCTGAACAAATTCCCCAAAGGCATTTAAGTTGCAAAAAGCCCAGAAGCTAAGAGTATATTCCAAAACTTCCGGAAAAATCACTGATAGAGAATACATAGACAGTCACAGGTCTGTGCTGATAATTGTCTACCACCATATGTGTATGAAATGCACGTGGCCAAAATGGCAAAGGGCTGCAAACCTTCTTTTCCATTTTTGGATCGGTATTCTGTTCTGGTCTTCTCTGAAGTGCTGGAAAATAAAGCTCCCCCATAAAACTGAAAGGCTGCTCTCAAGCCTGACAGCTCAGTTGGATGGAATGTTTCGGAGGCTAAGAGGTGCATTGAGCTTACAAAGTGCCAGGTTCCGTCACCTTTACATTGACCAGCTTTTCTTTGGAAAGTTGGTCCTGTAGTTCTCAGTGAATAACAGTGGCAATAGGGGATAAGCTGTGGGATGGGGCACACAGACAAATACGACACAGAAAAGAAGGCTTTACCAGCAGCAGTTGTGGTGGAATGCAGACTACTGGGGAAAGAAAAAATACAAAGTGTATTTACTGCACCTTTAGTAATTATTTATAAGCCTTCTTAAAGTCATGTAATCCATTGGACTTTTATGTTTTTTAAACACCAGATAAAAACCAAAACAGTGGCTCAGTGTGTGGAATTCTACTACACATACAAGAAACAGGTGAAAATTGGTCGGAATGGGACCTTAATCTTTGGGGACATTGATGTTGCTAATGAGAAGTCTATGAAAGATGAAGCTGAAGTTGACATCAAGGTAACTTCCTAAATTTCTCTCACCTCTTTTGGGCTGTGGTGTGAAGTCTGATTTTGTCTGTTGTCTCATTTGCTGGTAAAATCAAAAGTAGAAACAATCTGGCCAGTGTGGAGGAGTCCAGACTCACAAACTTGTGTCCTGTGTCACATAATGACATCTACTTATAGACACCAACATTAACAGTTCCTTTATCTTCTGGTGAAGAGTTCCCATAGGTTTGCACGTGTTCTTCCTCTCAGAAGGGACATTTACAGTGAAGAACAGGGGCATGAGGAGGAGGAAGAGGAGGAAGAAGAGGAGGCAGAGGAAGGATTGGATAACAGAAAGAAGAGCGCAGTTCCTCTCAAAGATGAACAGACACTACAAGATGGTGCAATAGTAAGTGCTGCTGCATTGTGCATGTTGTGCTTTCTATGCCACCTTCACTCTGCAGCTAGTTTAGAAAATAGTAGGTGGACAGTTCCAGCTCTATAAAGTTTGCACCTCTGACTTCTCCCAGAGCAAGAGACTGGGCTGAGGTAGCTTAGAGTATTACTAGCAACCAGACTGTGTGCTGTGGTGGGAGAACTGAGATGAGTAAGGGGAAAAAAACCCAGTATAATTCTTTGTGGTTGGTGCACACGTAGGACCATGATGAGAAACGTCCTGAAAATATCCTGAAGACTTTCTTGTTGAAATAAAACCTTGACCTGGAATAAATGAAGCACAGGAGCTCAGCCATTGTTTTTCTTCTGATGGTGGGTTTAAGTTTCAGTTTGCCTTAACTGTTCCCCTCTCTCCAAAGGCCAATGATGCCAATATGAGGAGTCAAGAGGCAACTGTCACAGGCAGAATTGGAAGGAAGCCAAGGGAGACAACAGTGAAGCCTCGAAAGCCTATTACTGCTCCAGTGCAGAGGAGAAGGCGGAAACAAAAGATAAAATTAGATGCTACCAGTAAAACTCAGAACACAGAAAACACATTTCCATGTAAAAAATGTGGCAGGTAAGAGCAACTCCGCTTCCAGCAATAGTCACAGAATTGCAGTAGGGCATCTCCTGTGGAAGCTTATTCTCAAATGAGCTTTCCTTCTGTCTATTTAGGCCAGAGACACTGGACTAAATAATTTTACTGACTTATTACCCCACTAATATTCGCAGATTAGGGGTTTTTACATACATTGATATTGAGATACTACTACTTGGATAATTACCTGCTGCTGACTGTTTTTCTTCAAATGGAATGAGACACCACCTGCATTTCACCTGTGTGGAGTATTTGGTGTTAAGCTGCACTTTCAAACAGTTGCTGTATTGCCCCTCTGTAATGCCTACATTTTTGTAACAAGTAATTTCTATATATTTGCTAGATCACATATTAAGAACATGGTATAGACTTACTATGAACAGTGGTATAGAACTACTTAGACACTACCATTGTTATAGCAGCAGATATTAGGCCAGTGGGTACACAGTTCATCTGATTAAACTTGCACCCATCTTTTGTGTCTGTAAAATATATTTGTCTTTCCTCTCACGGTTGTAATAGTTTTTGTAGGTTTGTTGCCAACAGATTCATAAATGTCAAGAAAATTCAGTTCCCTACATAAATTCCTTACTCCTAAAACAACAGAGAGTCTTGCAATACCAGTAGTTATCCCTTTATTTAAAAAAGGCACCAAGCTAGGGGATGGCAAGAAAATGCAATCTCCATCTAGTTACATCACTAGGGGTGTTGACCGATTCCTGCTGTGGCTGGGACTTAGCTGGTCCTGCCAAGGTGCCCTGTCTCTGTGCCGTCGGGGAGCACGTGGCATTGGAAAGGGCAGTGCTGTGAGAAGTGAGGCAGTTGGGATTTGGTCCTGGCCACTGACAGAGGAGAAGCAGGCAAGGATTCTTAATGGTGTCTAAACTTGGCTTGTGACATTTGGTGCCAAATCCAAATAGTTAATGGTGAAAGATGGAGGAATAGATCATAGAAGTATAAAGTTAGGAGGAAATAGCTCAAGTGTTTCTAGCTGTGTGGACAGGGCTTAGGAGTGGCATTTGGCCATTGTTCACCTCCATGTTTATTGTATTTTTGCAGCATAGGGGGAATGCCCAAAAAACAGGGCCCTGTTGTGTTAAGCAGCACGTGCGTATTTCAGATACCAGTGCTGCCTCTCTGAATTTAAAAAATTCAGAATGAATGAGAGATAAGAGGAAAAGGCTGCATTAAGAAATGAAGTGAATGGTTTGAGGGTGCTCAGGACCTCCTGCTAGCACTTCACCTACTGCTGGCACACGCTGAGTCAGAAGTGGTGTTTGCTATAGATGCTCTATTGCAATGCCAATGTGAGTTCCTATGCCAAAGCTCACAAACGTGAGGCTGGAGCAGCAGAAGCTCTTTTGGAGAATTAATGAAGGAGACTGTAGGAGAGACCAATGCTAACGTATATATGTGCTTCCTCAGGGTGTTCTACAAGGTGAAGAGCCGCAGTGCTCACATGAAAAGCCACGCAGAGCAGGAAAAGAAGGCGGCCGCACTGAAGCAGCAAGAGAGAGAGGCGGCAGCAGCAGTGGCGGCAGCAGCAGCCCACAGCCAGGCCCGGCAGGAAGAGAGCAGCGAGAGCGGGAGCAGCAGCAGTGGAAGCAGCAGTGTGAGCTCAGATGAAGATGGAGAAATATAGCAGCAGACCAGAAGTGGAGGGAGTAGCAAGGCTGGACCCAACCTCCCTCTTGGTGGTCTCACTTTTTTTGCTTGCACTTTTCTTACCTGACCCATCAGGTCTCAGTTTCAGTGCTGCCATTTCCTCATGCCACATGTTCCACTTCACCTTGCCAGTACTGACCAAACCGGAATGGTGGATGAAAAGATTTGTTTCAACTTCTTTGTTTGTTTGTTTGGTTTTTTTTAAATAAGATTTCTATTCTATTTATAATGGTACCTGAGGTACATAATAGAACAATGTCACCTGCAGTGGAAGTAAGTTCTCTCTCAGGTCAGTCAGACCTTTCTTTTTGTGCTTGTCAGGAATCATGATAACAGGACTCTTGGATATAAAGGTTTCCAGACTGGAGCAAGAAAATGATGCTTTGCTCTGAGCTAAGTGTATCCAGTTACTGTGACACTGGTGATTTCTAGATGTTTCCTTTCTCAGCAAGTTCTCCTTCCTGTTACACTTTCCTGCCTTTCTTTCTGAGCATTTATTCGGGCAGCCAGCAAGTTTTGTGGAAAGATGGTGCGCACTTTTGGCCTCTGCTTCACAAAAATGAAAAGCGGGATGAACAAGGCACTCTTCTTCCTTTTGAGAGGAAGTTTTATTTTTCAAAAGGAAGCCTGAGGTGGTTTCTTTTATGCCATTAAGAATGCAGCAATGGATATAAAAATATCCTGTGGGATTAGAGTAGCCACAGGCCTTGCGGGTTGTCTCATCTTGGGAAAAAAAAAAGTCTGCCTTTGATTAACTTAATGGAAAGTAGTCTGGGCTTCACAAGTGCAATTTGAAATGAAAACTGCTGGGTTTGACTTTGCATAAACGAGAGCAAGTTTGTTTAGTGAAAATGAACCAAGACCACCTCGTGCGCTGGATTGTGTGCACCTCAGAGCTGGGAGGAATGGACTCTCATCTCCAGCAGTCTCCTTAAATCCCTCTGTGAATGGCTTTTACCTCTCAGCACATCCGTTTCTTTCTTATGGCAGCCCTTGTTTATTCCTTGAAATTCCATCATCAGGAGCTTGTGTGGTGGGGCCTTGGTTTCCCAAATACTTCCTGTCAGACAGTATGTACCTGCAGGAGGAACTTGTCACTTATTTCCACACGGGTGGCTGGACAGCCCTGCCTGCTGGGTTGTTCTGCTGTGAGCCTTGCTCTTTGCTGAAAGTCTGACCCTTCAGAACTGACTAATAGCCAAAAAAATCTAGCCGCCAAAAGCCTGCTGGTGAAAGAGAGTTAAGAAGTAGTAAAGTGAAGTAAGTGGTCCAGGTGACGTAGATGTTAGATTTGCACAGGATTGTTCTGTACATCTTTATAGCCCACATTTATCATTATTTCATAAAGAATTAAAGAATCGGATCACTTCCCTGTGCTTCACGGCTGGTCAGTCCCAGCCCCGTACCCCGGCTGCCCAGCTCCCTCCCTCCAGCCAGTGCTTAGAAGCAGCGCTGATCCACCAGCTTCCTGGGCGCCAGCCGGCACTCTGTCAGATCGCGTGTGCGCTGCTTCGGTGGTGCAATGCCGAAGGAGCCGATCGCTCCTGCATTCCCAGGCAGGGATCCAAGCGGGATTGCTGTACGTGAACTACAGAGTGTTCCTGACTGGCTTTTTTTTTTTAAATCTTGACCCTTCAAGCTGCTAGATAAATTCCGGGTTAACTATGGAAAGTGGCTCTAACTCCAGCGTGCCACATGGCAGTCTTTTCCTGCCCTGCGGTTTTAGGCAACCATGATTGCTTCACTAAGTCTGGGAGGCTGGGTATTGTACCATGTTTGCTTTGACATATATATGCCTTTGGATAGAATCCTATATCTTAATAGCAGAAACAGTTACTACTCTTATAAAATAAGTAGGAGTGTCATTAAGGACTGCACTTTTTTCAGTGTTGACACTTTTGCCTTTAAGTGTTCAATTTTCTGCCAAGGTTGTATTTTTCATTCCTAACAAAAGGAGGTTTCCTTTCAGCGTTTGGATGACTGTTCCATGTCCCTACATGCACGGCTCTTGTTGACTAACTAGGCTGTGGAAGCAGATGGCGTGTCACGAACTGTTAAAATCATTCAAAAACTGCAAAGAACTAAAAGCTACTAATCTTTAAAAAGAAGCTTAAGCAAATCAGTCTTCCTATTAAGAGTTTCAGTGTTGATAGTTATCTTTTTCCTTTTGTAAATTGGAGAAAATACTTGTCTGCCATTATCCTTGGGCCCTTAGAGAGAACAGAAGCTTTAGCACACTGTGCCAGGACAGGCAGTAGGTGAAGCAGCTGGACCTCATGGTCCACTTGTAGTACTGGGATTAATTCCAGTAAAAAGCAATGATGCAATTAAACTTAAAGTTCTGAAGTATGTTTCTGAGAAGTTGCCAATAGTTTCCAGATCTTGAGAACTGCAGGGCAGGGCAACAGTGCAGAAACAAGCAGGGCTTGTGAGTATATCTAAAAAGTATTTAAAGTCATGTAGATACTGTTATACTGTTGTAATGAATGCGTTTGCCTGGAGTACCAGTGTCGCAGCAGCAGAACGGTGTACAGTTACTTAACAGAGACTGGGAAGGCCTAGAAACACATAACAAAGAAATGGAGAGAGGGGTAGAACTGGCACACATTGAAAAATACGGCAAAAATGAAGGGTTTTTTTTGTTTTTTTTGGTTTTTTTTAGATTGGCGAGGAGAGCTGACTAAACTTGAGAACTAAAGTAAGGTTAATCAAACTGTCTTAGAAAAATGCTTTCACTGTCCTTGCTAAAACAGTGCAAAATCAATCAGTATGTAATCCTTTAGGAAAAACCAGACTGTTCATACTGGGACAAACCAAAACTCTGTCTAGCTCCAGGTCTTGTTTCTGGCAGCGATCAGGAGCAGATGCTTAGGAAAAAGCAAGGGATAGCATGGACCAGCAGGTATAGTTCTAGCTAGAAAATAGGATGCTAAACTAGAACCTACGTGTGTTCTCCAGTAAGGCAAATCTGCAGAGAGGTTTGTACTGAAATGTGCTGTTCTCCTTAAGGGCAGAATATCAGGATATTCCTCTGCCTTTTACTCTTCTGCTCTGTGTATCACCTGCATTTACTCTAGTATTTTTAGTGTCTGGAATTATGCCTGGGTAATAATGAGCAAACACTTAGTCATGGCCCTCAGGAGTTTTCAAGTTTGAAGTAGTTTTAGATATGGCATAGCAAATCATGGTGACAAACAACTGATCAGATGAAATGAAGTACAAAGATTTAGGGAGCAAATCGTGGGATTGCTTAAAGTACCAATTTAATCTTCTTTCAGATACGATGATGCTTGAATGGAAGCATTATTATAGTCTTCCAAAGACCAGACCTTTCCCTGATTCTCCCTATTTTAGGAAATCCATATAAGAGTAATTTTTCCTCTTATCTAGGATAGGCCATTGAGGTGCTGATAAGAACAAATCAGAGATTTTCTTTTAATTGCACAAAAATGATGTGTGTATTACACACTGAATGCAGTACTGGTTGTTTCTCTCCAACACCCTGCTGCAGTAGAAGAGAACAGGAAGATTTGATACAGTGAGGTCTGTCACTGGAAGAAAATCAGAAAAGGGCTTTTTCTGAGGATAACCTCTAACAGCTGTGGGTTAGCACAGCTGACCAAAATCAGGTAAATATTCCAAGTAAGTGGATCAGATGGAAATGTTTCTAAGCATGTTTACATATTGCCAGTAGCCACCAGAAGACCTCTTTTCTGTCACGGTGATAAGTAAAAATGCTCCTCTGAGTGTCTTGTTTAAAAACAAACAAGCAAAACCAAACCTGCTGCCCACTTGCTTACAGTAGCAGTTTGGGATTGATCCTACATCTGAATTAGATCCTGCCTACTAGCAAAAGTTGGCAGAGAATTGTTTTAATGAAACAAACCAACCAACCCTCAATTGCTGTGGACAAAGCATTTGAACTGAATTTGTCTAATCTGGAATGAATGCTGTTACTCTTAGTGGGCGAAAAAATTACTTGAGTGGCTCTTTACTGCAGCACAGTGTTAATTTAAGGCTGTGGTGTTCCAATTTAAAAAAAAAAAAAAGATTCTTCGCTACGTTCTCTTGATTTGTCTGTTTTAAAACCCTATGCTCGTTATTTTCCATCGTTTAAAGGCCTATTTACTGATCCCCAATTAGTATAAGGGTTTGCTGTTAATTTAGAAAAAAGGCAGTATATGCTCAGTGATTAAGCTGAGTTTGAACAAGGCATCTCTTTGCTTTAGCTGTCTTTTCTATGGGAACAAACACAAGATTTATAGACTGCAATTCCGTAAATGTGCACTAATAGATTTGCCTCTTACAGTGTGAGACCAGGCTTCAGGTGGTCGTATGCCCAGTAGTCAGGTGGCTGCATTTCAAAACCATTACCTATTTGAGCCTTGATGCCAGCGTTGGGCGTTGCGGAGATGCAGCGATAGACCGCATTTTGCCCTGATCGCGTACTTCTGCCTTTCTGCCTGTGCCGTCTGCCCTTTACAGCTAGATTCAGTCTTTCAGGTTTGTGGTCTGCATGGGATAGCGTCTCAGTTTTGTAAGACTCTGTGTGTATATAATTACTAGATCTATGCATGCACTTGCAATGCATATCTGATATAGCTACAGGTGTTTTGCAGTCTAGCTGCAAGAACAACTCTGCATTTTAATTTATTTGATGCTTTTCCATTTACTGATACAGGTAACGGTATCTGAGAGAACTCAACTCTGTAAGGTGAAGGCCTACAGAATTTCAGTCGGCTGTGCAGGACCTTGGTATTTTGCTAGCTAGGACCAGGTGGGAATATAGCTGTTTGAAGGCAGGGCAAAGATAGAAATTCTAAAGCTTAAAGGTAATCCCATACTAGAGATACAATGTGAGGTCCAAATTAGCTAAAAATACCCTCTGATTTATCAAACTGAGGCTTTCGGTCATTTTTATCATTGCAACAATCTTAGATTAAAATCAACATTAAAAAAAAAAGTGTTTCCTAAACCACAAAGAGTGAGCTTTCTCACTCTCGGCAATTACACACTTCTTAATTCTCTTCCAGGCAGCGGACTAGAAAGTCCCTATATATACATACCCTATTCTGAAAGAAGTGGGAGTAGGGAGGACTGTAGCTATAGAAGTCTTGTCTGCTTTCATACAATGGCACTTTTAGTCCAATGATTACCTCTGCCAGAAACCGTATTCTAAACCACATTTTCCCACACAAACTTTCTCCCTGTTTTATCTTCTGATGTGTGTCTGAAAGTTTATAAAGCTTTAAAGAGACGGAGAAGCGGTGTCTGCAAATCACGTTTGATTTTTGTGGGGGTGAGTTTCTATGTAAATTCGTCGCTTGGGTTCAGCTGCTTTACTTGCCCTCGTTCTCTCCTGCGTCAAATGTTAGGAAGACACAAACTTTGAATCCCCAGCTGTCTAAGGACTTTTCTTTCCAAGACTAGGATTCCGCTGACAGCTGAGCCTGAAAAAAACCTTAACTTCTCCAGGTTAGAAGACAACATATATTTTTATAGAAATGTGATGGTGTATTTTAAAAACCAGTTTCCTGCAGCTTCTCCACGTGTATTTTTCCCCTTGTAGTTCAGATTTGATATAAACTTTTTTGTGTTCCTTCTTCTTATGTTCTGTTTTTAAATTTGTAGTCAAAGCTTTGTTGTACTGTACAGGAACAGTCAGCCTTTGTAATTACTGTATAAATGCTTTATAATAAAGTATATAACTTTTATTTTAACAAGTGAGCAGACACATCCTTTTGTGTGTTTGCTGCCTAGGGCACCTTTTAAAAGACTGTTACATGTTAAAAATGTACATATATAAATATATTTACCTGTTGCTGTACAGTTGTGATAGACTGGACTGAATTTATTTTTTTGTGTGCTTTTTTATAAAATATTAATACACTAAAGGAAATCTTGCTGATGTGATTGTAATGTACCATGTAACTTATTTACTTAATATCCTCTATATATCTAAAAACCCTTTTATTAAATGAGGTTTAAAAAAGAGTTTCATAGCTGAGTTTTTTGACGGTATGAGGGAGCGGCTGGGGGGGTTCGGGGTGGTAGTGACTGTGACGCATTCATGCAAAGGAAGCGGTTACGAGTTCTTTTAGCTAGTCTGCTCTCTCGTCATACCCACCTCTGTGTTCTCCATAGCAATTCTCGAGGCTTGTTTCTCAGTGTAAACTTCTCCCCGAAGACACCAGCCTGTGACGTGTTTTATGTCTTCTAGCCAAGAAAATAACTGGCAGATGCAGCTCCAGTTGCTTTACGGAAGCGTTGATTGTGTGCGTCCCACTCCAAGCCAAGCACCTTCCCAGAATGCCAGTAACAACATTGATGGTGTGTTAGACATTCACGGGGAATAGTTCTAGGTCCGCTTCTGCGCTGTAAATAAGGCCAGCTGCATTCTGACACTACCTGAAACAACTACAAAGACAGTGGGCAGAGCAAAGGCAGCATGGAGTAACTTAGTGCCTGAGCGGCCTGTATCAAATCTCAATTCCCGGCTGGCTGTGGCTGGGACAGAAAGTAGAGACTGAAGTAAATGAAGTAAACCTAGAGCTGCTGGAAGAAGAGTTAACATTTTCCTGCTGTTTAGTAGTTGAATCTGCTGGTTGTAGAAACAATGACTCCAGTTCTAAATCATATTGCATCATATTTTTCAATGGTAGAGTTTAAAAAAAAGTTTTAGTAAATACTGTCTTAAAGGCACTTGTCTGTTACCTGAATCTAAGGGGGTTTTTAAACATATTTTGTTACACAGCGCTAATCTCGTTTCCTCTGGCAGGAGCTGGATCTCTTGCTGTGGATTTTAAATATTAATACGCTGCCATCCATCTTCAAAACAAAGGTTTGAAGATGTTTTGGTAGGTTTATACAAATTTAAACCCTCCTGTTTTGGTAGGTGACTGTTTTTCGTTAACTAGGCTACTGTTTCTCACACCTGTGGGTGTGAAGTCTTTAAAAACTGCAAATGTTTCAATACATAAAGCAGATGGTAGAAACGTGTATCAGTGTCTGGCCTCCTGCTAGATTTCAGTTAGAATCTAAGGCAGCACACTGGTTTTCTTTTTAGTTGTTAATGTATGCTGGCAAATTTTCATTTCAATATCCTTGGCAAAGCTGGTGGGAGAAAGACTCGGCCCAAGACATTAAAACGCGTTTTCTTCAGCTCCGTGTAGAAGCCCTCGCTTTAATTGACTCCTGTGGATGTGGCTGTTGATCAGCAACAGCGTTTGGAGAAATAAGTGGTATTTTGCTTGGTGGGCAAGAGAGACGGGGAACACAGAAGCCTTTGCTTCAGATAGATAGATAGCAGACCACGAGTTTGTTTACGGCTTTAAATAATGCATTTGCCTCCCTGTCAAAGCCAGCTGGCAAAAGTGCTAAAGGCTGACGACTTTGTACTAAAACTGTGAAGCCATGCAAACAAACTTTGGATGATCAAAAAAGTCACAAGTATTGGGCATTTTGGTTTTCATCTTTTTTAACTGGTCGATCCAAGCCCAAGCTTCTGGAAGTTACTTCAACTACTGAAAGAGACCTTATAAAGCATTTTAGTGATTAGTAACCTTTGAGTTAGTGGTAGTGTGAGGAATTCTGCAGTAACTCCCTGTATGTTTTTTAAATAGCATTACAGCCGTTGTTGCAGGATGCTATTCTTGTCATTACTGAGATTGACTGCTGTGGACTGCGGGGTAAAAAGCTTTTTCTTTATATCTGAGTTTTGAAATTACATTTCAGTGACACGGTCTATTGAAGGGTAAAGTTCCTGTTACAGAAGTTTATTAATCGGCTAACCTTCTCTTGTCCTGGTTTAATGGAATTGATGGTATATTGCTGTTAACAGCACTTAAATTCAAAGTGAATTCATAATTTGGTACTGAAGAAAGACTAGCCATTTATTTAACTTGCTTGGATTTTTTCCCCATATAGCAGTAGTAGACTTTTCTCTTAGGACCTAAGAACAAAGTCTGACAGCCAATGTCTTAAAAGATTGAAAAATATTTATGTATCAGATGACAAAAATCACAATATATCAGCATTTTTAAAGTCTAAGTTATTTTCTATTCTAAAATATAGAGGCAATAAGGAACAGCATTTACATACTATAAATACATTGCTCCCTGAGCAGCTAGGAAAGTTTAATGAGAACAAATTTTAATTTCTGAACGCTCTCCACAAGCTGAACTATTTCATTACACAACAGCCAAATACATTTGTATAAAATAATGTTATATTATTTTTAAACAAGTTTCACAGAAGAACATTTATAAACATAGGCCTAAATAATTTAAACACAGCAAATGTAACAGTTTGGTCATGCTACAAAACTACTGTATACAAAAGATAGCCAAAGGGGATCTTAAAAGTGCTCTCTTGCTTGAAGATTTTTCTAGATGAGTCTACTTCTAGTGTAACCTGAGTAATCTGCTGGTTCTCAGGTCTCTTCTCACATTTTTCCAGCAGTTCTCAATATAGTCACTGCATACATCAGCTCTTTGAAGAGAGGTCAATGTGCTAACAAGCAAGTAAAAAAACCTAGCTCTTTCCTATCACTAATTTAATTTTAGGATATTTCTCTAAGGAATAAAGTGGATGCTAATCCTCCATAATTTCACTGGGGAAAGCAGAATTCCACATGGCTTGCAAGTTTTACATGGGTGCTCTTTTCATCCATGAATAATAATGTGCTTACTACTTCATTGGATGTGGTGAGATAGGGAAGAGCAGAGAGTAATACAGAAAGACAAGCCGTTCAACATCTTCCTCAGCCGCTCCCTATGGGCGTGCAGGCTGAGCTTCGCTGTTAGCTTATACGTGACATCGTGTAGCACCATCAATATGCAAATCAGATGCTTTAATTCTTCCACCTGTGTATGTCTTCCACCACATCCAGTGCATAATTTTAAAGTGCAAATTTTAAAATTTAGGAAAACTTTACTTATTTTGGAGGAGAAAAAATTCGGGGGGGGGGGGGGGGGGGGGATTTGTTCTTGAGAGTAATTATGATTGATCAGGCAAAGCAACATTCAGCTGAACCTTCCACCCAGCTTTGAGCTGAAGCATCTCCTGACAACCGAGAGCCACAGTTTATTCTTTTCTTTCTGTATTGTGTCATTGAGATTGACATACAGTTTTTATCAGAAGGGTTTTAAATTATATGCTAATTTATCACAGCATGAAGGGTGAAAGGCGAGGGAAACCTTGTAAGTGCCCCTTGCTGCTGTTACAATTGTGCTGAGACTGGATGCCCCATTCCTTCAGTAATGATTTTTTTTTCCTTTTTTGGTGGTATTTATAATGCAGCCCCCAAAAAAGAGATAGAGAATTTGTGCTCTTAATCTGTGAAAAGAGCTGATGACAGTGGGCCACACAATACACACAGCTCTACCAACAACTGCAATAGTTCTTGGACTGATTCCCGTATGTATAGCCCGTATTGGTCACTTACAAGAGCCAGGAACTGCTCTTATCCCTCACATCTTGTCAATGGAGCTGTGTTTTCTTCCAATCATCACCATATAGTCAGAACACTTAAAGTTTCTATTCTGCTCTCAGAATGTCCCAAAATAGCCAGAGTATTTGCTGTATCGAACACAACCTTCAGAAATGTACAGACTTGGACCATATTTAGCTATTAAAAAAAAATCAACCAGCAGGATTACTTGTCATTGGACTGTGTGCTCATCGCTCACTCGCTCTCCTGTCGCATTTCATTTGAGGTGCCAGCTCAGCCATACGTACCATACTTGTAGGCGTTGTGCTAGGAGACACCAGCTACAGAGGTTCAAACGCTTTGCTGTGTGGCCAAGCGCTATGACAAGAGCACTGCATGGTCTATTCTGAAAATGTCTGCAAACACACAGATTTCGGCACTGAGTTGAGATCAATACCACTGTTGTCTAGGCCAATTCTACCTTTTTATCTCTGACCATGACTTCCACGATTTCAACTCCTGCCACACCTTCACAAACAAAATAATTAAGAGTGGCATTCTGCCTCCATCCCTTCTATGCCTGGTCTGGAACCAGCAGGTACACTTGTCGCCATTTTAGTTTAAACAAAGATGGCACCGTGAATTAGAAGAAAAGCTTTTGAAAAAAACCAAAAACAAGCTGCAGAAGAATCTACTCAGGTGACTTGATCTATTCTCTAAAGAGAAGAAGAAAAAAACCCCACTATTGGCATCCAACAGTGCAATCAGGTATGTCTTCATCACTGTTTAATGCTTTTCACTAAAAATAGTTACCTGTCATATAAGGGGGCTTTACTAAAACTGGTTACCCTGCAATATAGCACGTTTAGTACGTCTTCAATACTTTTTTCTTCCAATGCTCACTTTCCATCTCATCTTACCTTCCCCACTAACTACATACACTTTCTCTCACTGCTTACATCTGTGCTTTCATAAAAAATTAGTATCCCCAAAACCAAAATTTTCTGCCCTCAAACCCAGGTCTTTTGTTCACTGTTTGTTTCTGTATTAGTATCAGCCTACGTAGTTATAGGAAAATTCCAGAGTTGAGAAGGATTATGTCCACCAGTGACCCAAACCAAAACTAGGAACCAGCTGTAGGCTAACAGGCCACATATTCCAATCGAAAATAATTTCTTAGTAAGAGACAAAAAAAGAGCTAGCAGATATTTTAGTCTCACTGAAACCATGCAAAGAATTCCCCTTGCCTCTTTAAAATAAATAAATATATGTTATACACGGCCTTCTAAGCAATGCAGTTGAGTTCCAATGCAAGAAGCCCAATTCAAAACTTAAGGCCAGTAACAAGCGATCATCAGACCAATACCTTTTTTGTGCACAGGTCCACAACTGCTGGGCCTGTTTGGCGTAACAGTTAAGGGGATGAAAAGGCAAACTTGCATATTTAAAATATTGAGGGATTCCCATGACAAAATTAAACACAACAAAGCCTGTAACACGTCTCTAAACCACAACATTGTTGTTTTGGCCTCCGTGTTTCCAATGATAACGTTGGCCAGCTGC